CTAATGTTAGTATAGTTCTTTTGTGTTAGTCCAGTAGGACAGGTAGCACCAGACTGGGTCATATTAAGATATCCTACTCTAGTCCAACCACCTTCTCCATCACAATTGACCTGTACAGTATGTCAATGATAAATAAATAAATTACATGCTTACACTAACCTTCACTGGTCCAGGGGACATAGTGTTGTTACTATCAATAGTGCTGTTACGATCAATAGTGCTGTTACCATCAATAGTACTGTTTACATTAATAGTGCTGTTACCATCAATAGTGCTGTTTACATTAATAGTGCTGTTACCATCAATAGTGCTGTTACCATCAATAGTGCTGTTACCATTAATAGTGCTGTTACCATCAATAGTGCTGTTACCATTAATAGTGCTGTTTCCATCCATAGTGCTATTACCATCAATAGTGCTGTTACCATCAATAGTGCTGTTACCATCAATAGTACTGTTTCCATCAATAGTGCTGTTTCCATTAATTGTGCTATTTTCTTCAGAGACTATATTTACATTAAAATATTATTAAGAAATTAGTAATAATGATGATGGTAACTATTATACCTGATGGACAAAACTTTGGTAGTATTCTTGGACAGAGAATGTATCTATTGATGCCATTCCCTTTGATAGTAACACTCCTTCCCAAGTTATCAATAACACAACAGACTCTTAGATATAATAAGAAGGACCCAGAGGTACCTTGATTAGTACAGTCAGTAGACATACAGTAAGATCCACTGGTTGTACTACTAGCATAAAGAAACAGGGACAACAGTAACATCACCTTCATCTTCCTGGGTTTTTGTTAACTTTACAAGTTTTGCTTTTAGCTGTAAAGTTATGGAAGCACTTTTATACTCAATTGACATATTCTTGGAATTTAATTTACAATTAGCAGCAATTATTGGGACCAGCTATTCTTTGTAAGCTAGAATTTTAGCACATGACTCCAGTTCAGTTGTTTTACACTTCACAATTGAACTGTGCTTTACTATACTTAAGCTTAACTGCAATGTTATAGTACAAGAGTATGTGTATGGCTCAGTTAAGAACCATTCAGTTTATGTAAATTGGGTATAAGATACAATACAGGCCATGTCTGCCAGGGAATCATATAAAGAGTATATGCTATTAATGATTTTCTTTCCAAAGTTTTGGTGAATTAAATTTAAAGCAATCAACAAACTAAACGTGTTTGTTGAAATTTTCTTTCATGATACTTAACAGTATGTTGGGATACCATGGAAATATAATCAGCCTTATATGGTAAGCCTTGAAATTTCCTTGCCTTTGATATCCTGATTTTGCATGAAAGCATGTTTTAATGAATTTTAGACTGAAATTTACCCGAATAGTGACAAGTGTAGGCGCAAATTAAATTATCCATTTTTGTGCATCACTTGTTAGTTTTTTGGCTTTTGTTGA